GGTTGATATGCAACTCGACATATGATCTTGAGCAAGGAGCATTCACCTTGGCTCCAGAGATAGTTCCCATCGGCCCCCTTCTACCAAGCACCCGGCTTGGAAATCCAGCTGGCCACTTCTGGACAGAGGACTCTGATTGCTTAAAATGGCTCGACCAGCAGCCACCCTGCTCAGTCATATATGTTGCATTTGGCAGTTTAACTGTTTTTAACAAACTTCAGTTTCATGAATTAGCTCTAGCACTTGAGCTCACCAATAGGCCATTCCTATGGGTCATGCGACCAGAGTATACAAATGGAGCTACCGAGGCATTCCCTGAAGGATTCTTGGACCGAGCATCGACCGAAGGAAAATTGATAGGCTGGGCACCACAGCAGAAAGTCTTAAGTCATCCTTCAACTGCTTGCTTCTTAAGTCACTGTGGTTGGAACTCAACTGTAGAAAGCGTGAGCAATGGCGTCCCAATACTCTGCTGGCCTTACTTTGCTGATCAGTTCATTAACCAGAGCTACATCTGCGATATCTGGAAAGTCGGACTGCAATTTGAGCAAGACGCTAGTGGGATAATCACCTGTGAAGAAATCAAAAACAAGATGGATCAACTACTTGGTGACAGTAATTTCAAAGAACGAGCTCTGCATCTTAAGGAACTAATGATGAGGAGTGTAAGAGGAGGTAAATCTAGCAAGAATCTTAATGATTTCATCGAATGGATAAAGAAATAAACAGATTTATATTGTGAACGATATTGCAATTTTTCTACAGATCACCTGATTAAGCCTGTAATCCTCATTTTCATGTTTTATGTAAAATGTGTAATTTCAACAAAGAGAGATTTAACATGATCAGTTTCATCTGAAATATTGGCTTAACAAGTTATGCTTGACTTGTTCAGTATTTCAAGTGTTAATCACCATCCAAACAGGCATAGAGAAAATAATTCACCATGACGAGAATCTTACCATTTGATTAGTAATCGAACACTCAAACTATATATTGCCCATTTGGGACAAACGGTAAAATTTTGAGAGCATGCACTTTTGTATGTGTGTGTGATCCATCAAATTATCCACCAAAAATTCTTTTAATTGAGTTGGAAGGAATGATAAGTGAAAGCTGTCAAAATGCAGTTGATTCTCCAGTTAGTTTCCATATCTCCATCAGGATTAGCACAAAGTTACATAATGAACAAAACAAGGCAATGATAGTTATATCAGAAAAAGAAAACATCACGATGAATATAAAGAAATAAATATCCCTAAGAAGCATAAAGAAACAAGAAAGATAAAGCCTTGCTTATTTAACTTGCTTTTATCCAACATTAGACTTTGGCGGATGATGTTGTTTTAGTCTTTAGTTATGGAAAGGTCTGAAAGGTACTTAACCCTCAGTTTTTGTTATTAAGAGGAAGTTGAAATTTTAAACAATACAGAAGAACTTAAGACGCTGTTCCATTTAATTGTTCCATGTTATTTGTTCATTGCGTTTGTAGTTCCACTACATCATTTTGGCATCTGAGAGTAGTGACACTCCTGACATAATAGACTTGCTCACATAGGGGTCAAGGAATTTAAGCTACTTAATGAAAATTGTGATTTTGATAATGACTGTGTGTCAGATTTGCCATTTTGTGATCATTGTGTGCTTGGTAAGCATCATAAAACTTCTTTCTCCACGAAGTGTTAATAGAGCTAAAGGCATGCTCGAATATGTGCACTCTGATCTATGGGGTCCTACTAGTAATCCCATATCGGGTGAAAATAGGTATTTCATGTCTATTATTGAGACTACATTAGGAAAGTGTGGGTCTATCTTTTGAAGGATAAATCTGAGACCTTCAATAGTTTTAATAATTAGAAGAGACAAGTGGAAAACCAAACTGGCAAGAAAATTAAATTTTTAAGGACAGATAACGGTCTAAAATTCTGCAATAAAGAATTTGATAGTATGTGTAAAGAAAGCTGCATAACTAGACATAAGACCGTTCCCTACACCCCTCAGCAAAATGGGGTAGCAGAAATGATGAATAGGACTATACTTGATAAAGTACGTTGCATGATGATTAGTTCTGGTGTTCCCAAGTCATTTTGGGGTGAGGCTTTTATGACCGCTTGCTATTTGATTAATCTGACTCCTTCTGCTGTATTGAATGGTGAGACTCCGCATGAGAGATGATCGGGTAAACTGAGTGATTACTCGATACTTAGAACTTTTGGCTGTATAGCTTTTTCTCATCAAAGTGAGGGTAAGCTGGAACTAGAGCTAGGAAGTGTGTCTTCCTAGGATACTCCAAGGGTGTTAAGGGTTATAGGTTATGGGATAGAAGTCAAAAAGGGATTAAAATCATCATAAGTAGAGATGTCATGTTTAACGAAAATGAGATGCCGTGTATTAAAGGGGAAACTGAATCTGAGAGTGAAGTTGAATCAGGTGAAGAGAAAGATCAGTTTAAGGTGGAGTTAGGAAAATTCAGTCCACCTGCCCCTACTATTTCAAATGAGGTGGAGACTCAAACTCAGGAACCCGAGGTGGAGAATAGTAACGAAATAATGACAGAAGAGCACTATGAGGAAGAAAATCTTTAGCTAACTATAACTTAGTTAGGGATAGAGAGAGGAGACAGACATGAGAACCAAGAATGTTCGATTTTGAATCTGAATTAGCTTTCGCCCAGGCTAGTTATGAAGAACTAGCTGATAAAGAGCCAAAGACCTTTGAAGAAGCAATAGACAGTGATCAATCTAATGAATGACTTAAGGCAATGAAAGAAGAGATGAATTCTCTAGAAAATAATCATACTTTGGAGCTAGTACCTAGGCTTAAGAACAAATCAATTGTTGATTGCAAATGGGTTTTTAAGGTTAAGGAAGGAACTAACAGCTCGAAACCTCTAAGGTTTAAATCTAGATTAGTGGCTAAAGGCTACACACAGAAGGAGGGCATTGATTATAATGAAATTTTCTCACTAGTTGTTAAGTACACCACTATTAGGGTCATGCTCGCATTGGTTGCACATTTTGACTGGGAACTTGAACAACTTGACGTAAAAACTGCTTTCTTACATGGTGAGTTTGATGAACAAATTTTCATGAATCAACCAAAAGGTTTTAAGGATAAGTCAAAACCTGATTATGTGTATTTTCTGAGGAGATCCTTGTATGGGTTAAAACAATCTCCTAGACAGTGGTACAAGAGGTTGGATTCCTTTGTACTCACTATAGGGTTCCAAAGAAGTAAATTTGATCACTACTGTATTTTCAACACAATGAGATTGATGATAATTATCTGTTTTTGTTGCTCTATGTGGATGACATGCTTTTGATTGGATCATCCTTTAAGTGGATAAATAACAGAAAAGCAAAACTAAGTGGTGAATTTGACTTGAAAGACCTAGGTAAAGCTAAGAGAATCTTAGGTATTGAAATCGAAAGATATAGGTCAAATTCTGTTTTATTTTTGTATCAGTCTCCATACATATCCAAAGTATTGAAAAAATTTAATATAAGTGATTGCAAACATGTCACATTGCCTCTTGCTAATCATTTTGTTTTATCGAAAGAACAATATCCTTACAATGAGCGTGAAGTTGAATACATGAATAGAATGCCTTACTCTAATGTGATTGATTCTATAATGTATTTGATGGTTTGCACTAGATCTAATTTAGGTTTTGTTGTTAGTACTCTCAGTAGATATATGGCTAATCCGGGCCCTGAACATTGGGAAGCGCTAAAGTGGTTGTTAAAGTACTTGAAGGGTACAAGTAACGTAGGTTTAAAGTTTAGTGCTAATAAAGAAGGCATAAAATTAAAGGGTTTGTAGATGCAGACTACGCGGGAGATAGGGATGGTAGGAAATCTACTTCATCTTATGTGTTTACCTTATCTAATTCATGTGTTAGTTGGAAATCACAGTTACAACATATTGTTGCACTATCCACTACAGAATTAGAATATATTGCTACCATTGAATCTATTAAAGAAGTTCTATGGCTTAGAGGTCTACTTCATGAACTATGTGTCTTGAATGATTATGTGGTAGTGTATTCTGATAGTCAGTTATCTATACATTTATGCAAAAACCCTGTTTTTCACGAGCGCACTAAACATATTGATGTTAGACTCCACTTCATTAGAGATATAGTATCTCAAGAGGTGGTAAGACTTGAGAAAGTCCACACCCACTACAACCTCTCTGTTATGGGGACGAAGGTACTGCCACCGGCAAAGTTTAGAAGTTGCAAGGAACTTCTAAACATTGGTACAGGTAAATGATTTCCAATTTTATTGGTTTTCTATTAGAGGTGTCACTAATGGGAGACAATTTTCTTTTACAGGTCCTTTGACACCAAGGTGGAGGTTGTTAGGCAATTTGTTGTCAAACGACCTTCTCGGACTATAATGTAACCTCGATTTTATTATCAATCGGTCTTAGCCATATGATTGACTAGTACATCGACACAATTATCGAGACAACACAATTCACATTCGTATGGACCGTTCGAAGCAACCTATTGTTAATAGTGTTGTTCACGGTTCGCCCCATTTTCTTGGAAGGCTATATTATTAATTCGAAGTCCATTAATATTGAGTCGAGCCTTGTTTGGTCCACAAATTAACCCTAACCTAACTTACCTATTTTGGATATTTACTTGGCTTATATTCCTGTCTCTTTCTCGGCCTCCATAAGCCTGTGCCCAATTTCTCTCTTTGTGAGATTTTCTTCTTGGTTTCTTTCATCACTTCACTGTGACCTTTGTGGTTAATCCTTAGTGGGCATATCATTGGACTTCATCTTCCCAACCTATAGCAACCGGAAGTGGGGCAGTTTTGGTGGTGGTTTTGGAGTTGTCTCAACCTTGGTGGTGTCGATGAAATTGGTGAAACTGAGCCCGGTTTGAACTTGGAGTTTACTGGAAATCATCCCTACATTTCTGAATGTGAAATATGTTTGCAACTTAAACACATGTTTCATGAGATTGCATAGGCTTATTCATCAAAATCAAGAAACCAAAAATAAAATATATTTTTCCATCTGTCACGAAATCTTTTTGATTTAAGTTAAAGCAAACCACGGTTCGTTAACAAATAGTAAAATAAATTTTGAATCCAAGTATCGTACTTACAAAGATCATACTAATTTGAGTTTGAATTAACTTAACCTTAACAGAAAACTATGAAAACTCATGATTTTCTAAGATGAAATTGGGACCACTGTCATGAGCTAACTTAAATAAAATCAATGCAAGATTATAATTAAACGCAAGTTTTGTAAAAATATGATAACGAAAAACTTATTAGAATCTCGAATACCCCTATATCAATCCCTTTAATACTGGAACTTATAAGTTTGACAACACGATTCAACTATGAAGAGCCTAATTTGTTTAACAATCTCTCTTGAGTAAAATTAAATTTATTTTTACATGTGACGTGACTATATTTTTATGACGGACGGGAACATATAAAAATGCATTGAAGATTTATGAATACTTAAAGATCACGTAAAGTATAATAGTATATTTTTATCTCCTATCGAACTCTACGACAATTGATACGATGTCTAACTTATTTTTAATCTTTCGAAGGTAAAACAAGTCACAATACTCATAAAACTATTACGAATATAATTGTAGAGAAAATTAAATTCATATCAATCATTCAACAATTAAAAACATTCTTTAAATGTCAAAAAGAAATAAAATCACGAGTTAAAAGTTCATGATACAAAGTTCATAGTAATCCTAGCACTAAAATTATTTTGCTACTCATAATGTCGGAATTAAATAAATAAAAGTGGAATGGCATCGACAATAAATTAACGGAATGTAATTAATTTTCCT